CCCAGTTACCTCCCCTCTCAACCCAAAACTTCTTTTCATTGTAACTATCTACCCCTGAAACAAATGGGCACAAAATACCCAGCTAGATCAGACCAGTCACTTGCACCTGCACAGTACCTCTTGTCAACCACAGGTGCCAATCATGCGGTCCCATGCCCAAAGGGGAACAGCCCATTCTATTTATTTTATTTATTTATTTTTTTAGCTGAGCCATCCTGCTACCTGTTGGCAGCTCAGCAGCTGCTCAGCTCGGGCCGGGACTCGAACCGCGGGAACAGCCCATTCTAGAGAAAGAGGATAAAATCTCCAAATCCTGGGCAGTCGGCCCTTTTTCCTTTTTTTTTGGACTCCCTGTTCTTTTGACCGCTTCTTCCTTTTCAAGCCTTTTGAGCCTCGCCTTTGCGCGTGGCCTGCTCCAAACTCTTTGGAATGTAATTTCTCTTCTAATAATGGGCCCTTGAGCCATTCTCTACTGCTTGGGCCTACTTCTACTCTTTGAAATGTATTATCTTTTCGAATAAACTGCTTTTTCAGTACTTTACTCCGGCATCTCGTTTAGTTCTTTGCTTGAATTGCCAAGGACCTGGACTTTGCGCCGAGAAGGGCCCACTCTCCGACAACAGTTCAACTTAGTTAAAAAGGATTAAAAAATGATTCAGCCAAGCAAGAGGAGCGGTGAGTGACAGCCCACAACAGGTAATGCCAGGGGTCCTATTTCCTTTCCCCCCAAAATTGTGCTCAGTGCAACAAGCCACTGGACCACATAATGTGTGATTCTATTTCTATGAAATGTCCAGAGAGTAGATGAGGGGTTACAGGGACTAAGGGAGGTTGGAGAGGAATGGGGAGTGATTGCTTAATGAGCACAGGGTTTCTTTGGGGATGATTAAAAAGCTCTAAAGCTGATAATGGTACAACTCTGTGAATACTAAAAATCATTGAATTGTACACTTTAAATAGGTATATTGTATGGTATTTGAATTATAACTCCACGAAACTGATATATTTTTTTTAAATGTGAAGATGTATTTGCCTTTTCTAAAGCATTCAGTCAGCAACTATTTATTAAGCACCTACTGGGAGCCAGGCATGATGCTCGCTCTGGGGTCACCCTGGTGAGCAGACCAGGTATGGTCCCTGCCCTCCTGGAGTTCACAGCTTAGTGGGGGAGATGCAAAAGCTCACCATTTTTTTTTAAAGATTTTTATTGGGTAATTGGGGGGATGGGAACAGTGATGGGGAATT